CTCTCGCTTTAGCGCCGCGCGCATTCTCTTTGTCAAGTTGCACCAGCTTCAGGGATGGAGGGCGGGTCCTCTTCAAGGTGCGGCTCTCGCTTTAGCGCTGCATTCCATCGTTTTAACACAGTTTGCAACAGGTTCAAGGATGGAGGGCGACTTTTCTCCAGACTGTAGCTCTCGACTTAGGGCCGCGCACATTCGCCTTAAGATATTGCAGCCGCTTCAAAGATGGAGCTGGCTTCGTTTTTGAAGATGCGTCTCTCGCCGTAGCGCCGCGCACATTCGCGCTATAATGTTGCAGCACCTTCAAGGATGGAGGGCGGTTCCTCTTAAAAGTGTTGTTCCCGCCTTAGCGTTGCGCGCATTCGTCTCGAGGTATTGTGCCAGCTTCCCGGATTGAGGGTGTTTTTTTAGAGATGCGGCTTTCGCTGTAGCGCCATGAACATTCGTGTTCCAATATTGCAGCGCATTCAAGGATGGAACGCGTTTTTTGTCAACGCGTTGCTCTGATTTTAGCGCCGCGCACATTCGTCTTGCAGAATTACGACAGTTTCAGCTTCAAGAGTTGAGGTCGGCTCCTTTTCAGCATGTGGCTCTCCATTCAGCACCGCGCACATTGGTCTTAAGATGTTGCAGTAACTTCAAGGATGGGGGGCGGTTTCTTCTGAAAATGGGGCTCTCGCCTTAGTGCCGCGCACATGCGTATTGTACTTTTGCAACAGCTTCCAGGATGGAGGCCGGTTCCTCTTCAGACCTGGCCCTCGCCTGAAAACCGCGCGTATCGGCTTCATACGGCTGCAACAGTTTCAAGGAAGCGTGGGGTTGAAATCCCATGAAAAGGTTCTGGCACGACTTCGGATTGTCAGGGCGCAGCAGTCACGTTGATTCGCGGTGTTGAAATCCCAGGAATGGTTAGGATTGCCATGAAACAACGGTCACGTTGATGCGCATCGTTGCAGTCCCAGGACGGGTGATTTGAAACGGTTGAAGAGTATCAGACACTTGTTTTTCAATTTGGCATTTCCCACGATGAAGCTAACGACATGCAGGGACCTATGAAGAGGGACCTTGGAGGGAAGGTTTACGGCAGCATCGTTGACGGGTTTTGGGCTTGCCCTGGTTCTCCTCCTATTCCTTCCTCCCCTGCTGCGCTCTCTCCCTCCTCTTCCTCTTCCCTCCCTCCCCTGCCTCGTTTCGCCGCGCCCTCTTTTTCGTCCTTTTCCTTCGCCGCCTCCTCTTTCTCCTCCTCCTCCCCCTCCATCTCTGCCTCGCCTGCTCCTCTCTCCAGACTCGGTGTCTTGCTTCTCGTGCTGGTGCGATTCGCGTCGCATTGTCCGCTAATGCGTGAGATGTTGCTCTGGGGATTGCGCTCCGTGGGGAGAAACAACATGGGCAAGTGCTACTGGCAGCCACTGCAATGAGAGCGCGCGAGCACGCTGTCTGAGACTTTCGCGCGGGCAGAGCCGATGCAGGTCCAGTCGATGCCGCCTTCCGTGCGTTGCCTTAGCAGGCAGGGAGCTGGTCAATGCCTCGACCTTGTTCCTCTCGCCCTTGTGCGGGGGCATCAGCTTGGTAGACCATGCGCCGAAGCGTGCGCAGAATGTTTAGTTCTTTTGAACGTAAAGGCCCTTTCCCGTGATCGTGACACTGATAGGTGTACGCCGCCACGATCGCGTGCGCCGCCGCGAAGGTAGTGGCACCGCGGTGCAAGCAGCGAGAGGGGTGCCTGGACGATCCCCAGCGTCGTTGTGGAGGGTGCTCCGGCAGCTCCGCCCGCCGAGCAACAGCATCTCCCTCGTCCGGAGGCGCGAAGCCGACGGCTGGCCTCTCGTGGCTGCGGCACCGAAGGCACCTTCAGAGCGACCTCGCTTCGGAGCCCCGCCGCCCGAGCTGATCGGGGCGAGCGTTCACCACGTGACCCGGGGCCCCTCTGAGCGAGGTCTGGCTCCTGCCCGACGTGCCCGTCGCTGTGGGCGGTTCGGCCTTCACCGACCCCTCTCCTGAGCCTCCGCGGGGCCAGCGGGGCGGTGAGACTGTTCCTTGGCTCGTTGCGGTGCCAGCGCGCGCCTGCGGGCCACGCGGCAGAGCTACTGGCCTACTGTGCGTGTGTGTGTGTGTTTCTTGCGGGGCTCGGGCCATCTCCCCTTGTCGTTCCTCGTCGTGCCCTTCGTCTCTCTCCTCGCTGCCTCTCTTGTACTTCTCGGAGTTGCATTTCGGCTTGCGCGCTGCGGCCTCCCTTGTGCCAGTTTCTCGGGCGCTTGACGCTTGCACGTCTGCCCCTCCCCCTGCGTCTCGCTGCTCGTCTCGGCCCGCCCTGATCCAGGACGACACGGCCTTGACTCGAGCGTGATCGTCATGTGTGCGATTGTTGACGCGGACGCGCCCCGTCTGCGTTCGACCGATCGGTGATGCACCGTCGCGGTGGAGGAAACCTGTGCGTGCGTGGGTATTGAATTTAGCGTGCCCCGACTTAGTACTCGCTGTGGGGGTATCACCCGGCTGCTGGAGGAAAGTGTGTGTGTGAGTGTGTGCCTGCATATGTGCGTGCGTGCGTGCATGTGTGTCTGCGTGCCTCTACGCCCCGTTGCCGCGCGCGAGGCCTTGACGCCAAAAAATGTGTCTCAGTGCGTGCGTGCGTGCGTGCGTGTCTTTGTCCACTCACCTTCTACGCCAGGTGTGAACGTGCCGAGTCGTGTCCCGGCCTTGCGCTTAGCGACGGTGCCGCCGCTTCGCCGCTGGAGGAAAAGTGGGTGTCTTTCAGCTCAGCACGCGCCACCTGCGAGGACCCACGCAGCGTGGTCAAGCACGCCCGCTGCCTGAGCACTGTGCAGGAGCAGAACTAGCGCGACTGGGCCAGTCGCTACCGAGAGGAGCCCGACGTCCGCAAAGTCGCCGAACGACGAACTGAGACAGTGCTCGCAAGTCCTGCGTGGCGACGCAGCGGTCCCGGCGTCTAGCCTCTGGCAGGGACCCAATCGGAGGGCCTCCTGCAGCTCCAGGGCCGCCCCCCACTGAATGGGTCATACCTTCTGTGCCCGCACGGAACGTGAATTCAGGGCGCTCCCTGCCTCCCCGCCTGCGGCGGGTGCCCTGCGGGACTGCAGCCCCAGAGTATCAGCCGTGGTCGCGGTGGGACGAGCCCTTGCGCTTGACCGACCGGCCGCATCGGGACGCCTGGTCATGCTGCGCTCGGCTCTAGGCGCAGGAGCGCAGCCAGCCGAGGTCCAGCCCAGTGGCCGCCGCTCATCACTGCTGCACCCAACGCGTACCACCCTCGGCCCGCACGGGAGCCAGAGCGGCGCGCCGAATGCGCTGCGGGCGCGCCAAGCGCGCGCCCTCTGCAGCGAGGTCGAGGCCGCCCGCCAGCCTGCGCACGGCAACCCAGCCACGTTCCCGGCTCCGCGTGACCAGCCATCTTGGGGTCCTCACCTCCTGGGTCCCCAGACGGGGCCCGACTCCAAGCAACACGATGTTCTTGGGCCCAGTTGGCAATCCTGACGGTAGCATGGCCGAGTTCCTATATTCACATGACTGCCTCCCCGAGGAGCGCTTCGACTCGCTGGTACAGAGAGAGAGAGAAGGAGAGAGAGAGAGAGAGATTCTGATTTCCACTACGGGAAGAGGTCGGGAGTCGACGCGGGCAAATTCCTGTCCAGCAAGCCGGACGCTTCCCCTTCCCCCAGGCGCCAGATGCCCCCGCGAGGCTCACAGCGGACGTCCGCAGATCAGGAGGGCCAAGAAAACTTAGTCCCAGACCCCCTCAGAGCTTACCCTCGATGGCCCGGCTGTCGGCAACCAACTAAGGGCGTCAGGGTTTTGACCATGCCGATGGCTGGGTAGGCCCGGCGTCCCCAGACCACTGCGGTCCCCCTGTTGCCAGGTGACTGCAACTGTAGCTACCACGGTGCAGCAGCTGACTGGCAACGCTGGCCGCAGCGGGCCACCCAGGGCCGCTGCTACGCCCCTTTTGCCGTGCAGTTTAGCACATGTCCCAGCCCTTCCACTCCTCCTGCGTCTCTTGAGAGCCCTCCTTCTCCGATCCGATGAGCATCTTTCTTTGCAGGCTGCTCTCCCTTTGCGTCGCTAACCTTTCTTGCCCTGGCACTGTCGGGGCACAAAGATGCTGACCAGTGGGGCTGCGGCAGCACAGGTGCCCTCACCGAGATCGCGCAACGTTTCCGCGGGTGGACCAACCGTGAAGCCACTTCCCCGATAATGCCCTGGCTTACTCGTCTGGGCCGGCCCTTTTTGCTCTGGCGCTGGCCAGCTCACCACGCTACACTTCCGTTGTGGTGGGCGTGCTTAATAGCGGCGGCAGCGCGCCAATTTTGTCAGTATTCCTCTGCTTTTCGAGATTCCGAGCGTGACCAGTATCACAAGAAGCCGAATGAGACACTTGGCGGGGATGGAAAACCATACTGTACACGCAAAGGGCTTCCCACGCTAATGTTGACACGTTTTGCATACTCAGGCCGTTTCGGGCAAGTGTCGTCCCGTTCCATGGTCACCCATGCTCAAGGCGATTGACCTTCTGTATGGTTCAGACCAGACACTTGATACTGAAGAGCAACCGTTCTTCACATTGTTATGTTGCTTTGCGTTGGCACGTTTCACGTGCTTCTGCATTGTGTTGTTCTGCCTTGCTTCGGGGCGTATAAATGCTCTCAGTTGGGGCCTCGCCTGGTTCACTGGCAAGGCAACCGCCGTCAATCTGCGTCGGCGCCGGTGATGACAAGCTCGGCCGTCACAGGCCGGGAGGAAATCTCAGGCGACGTGCCTAGGCCGCCCTGTCCACACGTCTGGTGGCGCTGCGCGGATGGATCTGCTCCCACGGAAGAAGGATGGGGGACGAGGGTGAGGGCGGGATGATCTCTCCCTGCCCTGCCTTGCCCGCCCCCCCCCCCCTTGGCCAGGGAGAGGGGGAGTGTTGTGGGCGGCGCCACGGCCGCGCAGACTGATCGCGCCAAGGGGCGGGTGAGGGGGTAGAGGGGTGGGCGCGCGGGCAGGTCACCGCGTCCGCGGACAGCACCGCAAGGAGGGACTCGGGACAGGGAAGGGCTCCTTGTTTCTCCTCGTTCCCCCGCTCCCTCATGGTTATCCTCCTTTCCGTTCTCCTCGTTCTCTGCCTCTTCTTCCCCCTCTTCTCCCTGTCTTGTGCTCCTCATCCCACTCATCCCCCATCTCTCCTCTCCACCTTTTCTTCGGGTGTTTCTCCTCAGTTTCTTGCTCCTAGATCTACTGCTTTTCCTCCCACTGTCCTCCCTCTCCTTCGCTCCTCTCTCTCCCTCTCTCGAGTTCCACCCTCCTCCCTGCTGCCTCCTCCCTCCTCCCTCCTCCCCTCCATCTGTTCTGGCTCAAGGCGCTCCCTCAGCCTTCAACACAGCTCCCCGCTGGAATCTATGATCTTCACAGTGACTTCACGGGAGGCGGCCGCATTTGGCCGCTGCAGTTCACGATCTGGGGCAGCAGCCTCTTTACGACCCGCCGCGTCCGCGGGGCGACGATCTTCTGTCCAAACAGCACGGCGGAGTGCCAAGAACACGAGGCGCAGCCTAAGGATGCCAAACCGCGAATCTGACCGGCGAGAAAACAGCATCCATTGGAGTTTCCAGCAGAACTTTCAGACCGCATCCAGGGCATGATGCCATGCATGTCAAGCTGATCCAAGGGGCGCCTCTTACGCCTCTGGAGCGACTACGAACGTCTTGGCAGGTCATGCTATGGCACTTGGGATTGCCATCTCTACTTGAGCGATCCCGCGCCGCCCACCACAACATCGTGGCAGCCCGCAGGCAGGAGGATGTCCACTCAAACCCTCCCAAGCGAAAACCAGCCAGACAACTCAAGGAACAGCACCGAAGCGGAACGCCCTGCGTATACGGACGCGGATCCCGACCATACTTTGGAGGCCACAGCTACCAAAACGAGTAGATTTCGACAACACCGACGCCAAGACATGCTGTTCCAACACACATTTGTAACTATGACCCGCGCGCCCAGCCCTCAAAGACGGCGCGCCCGCGGGCTAAAAGCTGCAAGTGACAGTATACCCTCCTGCCGCTCCTCCCCATCTCCAATTCACCCTGGATCCCAACTTACGCTGAAGTCCCCAACGACGGGACCGCGAAGGCAGTTCAACGTCAGTGCTCCTGTTCGTTTTCCGACGATGGGAATCCCTCAATGCGCCGGCCCAGTGCGCCCGTCAATGTCCAGTATTCTCACCCGAGCTCTGTTTCCTCCAAGGCGGCCCAGTCCTCTACACCTTCGGCCTATCCCCCCATCACGAGCCCGCCCCCGAGCTTCGAGCCCGACGGGCCTGCCCAGGACCGAGGCATCCTCTGGCCAACCAGGCAGTCTGTCCCAAGGCACTCCCCGTATGTTCGCAAGGAGCCATGCCAAGGCGCTCTCCCAACTTGCGGCATGCGCCGATGATGCTGGGCGCGTACGGCCCGAGCAATACATCACCAGCACCAACTTAGTTGGACCGTGGGTCCCCGCGTCTAAGATGCGCGCCGAGCAAGGGGGAGCTCTCGGCGGGCGCGTCACGCGGCGAAGGCCCTGGGGCTGCTCGCCGTTCGTTTTGCGGACGCGGCACGTCTTCTTCCCATCTGCATTGTCCGCGTCACTTGCAGCGGTTCCTGTAGTCCTGGCCCGAGGCGCGACGTGAAGCAGGGTGAAAACATTGCCAGCCAGTGACTTCAAGCCAGGTGCTGCGACGCGATGGATTGGACCCACCGCCCGATTCGCCCGTGCCAGATGCCGCGACCTGCTGAATTCGCGGCCCGACCGCGAATTCAAGATCGAGCACGTCCTTCATGCCATCGTCAAAGCCCGCGCCCTCCTGAACCACATCCCGAACGAAGGACGATCTTTATCGGCCAGCTCCAGGATCTGCCACCCGTGCCGCCCACTCCGCGACTGCGAGCCCGCGCTCATGTCTCGCCGAAGTCCGCCATTTCGCAGTTGCCCTCGACTTCAGCCAGGCCGAGACGGAGAGAGGCGGAACGGGTGACGCATCGTTGCCCTACCGTTGCGGAAAGCTGTGCCATCACAACGTCCCGTGGCACTCACATGTGCGTAGCTCTTGCAGAACACCTGACATCATGCAAGGCGCTCCCGTAGCACTAGCCCATCAAGAAATCAAAGCTGTGCTTATCCCGGTTCCCGAAGTAACACATCGATCCCGAGTTTACAGAACCATGGATGAGAGGGTTAGCTGCCGACGGTCAGCCGCGAATTGTAAGTACAGTCGCAGCATTGCATGCCGACGGCCAGCCGCGAGCTGTACCCAAACGTCCGCCAATCCCGTCGCTCCGTGCTTTTCCCGCTTTGCCCGGCTTTACACAACAGCCACGCTCCAGTCTCCTGCTGGAAGTGGCGTGCCGCCCGTCGGATCTAAGATTCCGCGCGCGCGGCACTACGACACCATCCCCATACGCAGTTCATCTACCTATACGACCACCGTTCGGGTGATAAGGAGGTTCGGAGGGGGGGGAGGAACCAACGTTTCACTCGATCGGTCTCACTATCAATCTCACTATCGATCTGACTATCGGTCTCGCTCGATCGATCTCACTCGATCTATTTCATCCGATCGATCTCACAATCGATCTGACTATCGATCTCACAATCGATCTTACTATCGATCTCACAATCGATCGCACAATCGATCTCACATTCGGTCTCACTATCGATCTCACGATCGATATCACAATCGATCTCACAATCAACGCCATCAACATCATCGTCATCAACGTCATCAACATCATCAACATCATCATCATCATCGGGACACCATCATCATCATCAGCTCATCGCCATCATCATCGACATCATCAGCATCACCATCGTCATCATCATTTGGACACCACCATCGTCACCATCATCATCAACATCACCATCATCGCGACACCATCATCACCGTCAGAACACCATCACCATCATCATCATTTCATCATCATGAACATCAGCATCAACATCATCATCATCGGGACACCATCATCATCTTCAGCAACATCATCATCAACATGATCATCATTCGGACACCATCATCATCGTCAGCATCATCATCACCATCATCACCATCGGGACGCCATCAGCATCATCATCATCTGGACACCATCAAAATCATCATCATCATCACCTCATCATCACCCTCCTCATCAACATCATCATCATTATCATCACCATCGGGACACCATCATCGTCATCATCATTATCATCAACATCACCATCACCATCGGGACACCATCATCACCATCATCATCAACAGCATCATCATCAACCTCCTCATCATCATCGGGACACCATCATCATCATCATCTTCACCATCATCAGCATCATCATCATCTCATCACCGTATCATCAGCATCATCAACATCATCAGGATCATCAACATCATCATCGTTATCGGGACACCATCGTTATCTTCAGCAACATCATCATCAATATAATCATCCTTTGGACACCATCATCATCGTCAGCATCATCATCACCATCATCCACATCGTCAACATCATCATCATCATCGGGACACCATCATCATCACCACCATCACCATCATCATCACCATCATTATCATCAACATCATCGACATCATCATAATCATCATCATCATCATCATCATCATCATAATCATCATCATCATCATCATCATCATCATCATCATCATCATCATCATCATCATCGCGACACTGGCGGGACACTGGCGGGACAGCGCGGGCCACCGGCCCCCGGAGAGGAAACATTTGGTCCGTCCGCGCCTCAGCCAGAGGCGGGACACCGGCGGGACACCGCGGGCCACCGGCCCCCGGAAAGGAAACATTTGGTCCGGCCGCGCCTCAGCCGGAGGAGATTTTCTTCTCGCCCGCCCACGCAGCTTCGCCTCGCCCGCGCGCACGGCACGCACGAACACGAAACCGAAACCGATTTCCTGGTAGGGGGGCTCTCCGTTCCACTTCGATCTCACCCCTTCACTTCCGATTCCCAGGAGAAGTGCTCACCAGGGCCACGTCATCAGCGCACTAGGCTTGTTACGATTTCCTTCAGGCGTATGGCACTGTCGCAGATGTCATATGACCGATTCGTGCCATCACCAACTGGGCTGCCACTGTGCCAAACTCAGCATCACCATCCTCGTGGCACAGATGCGCTTTGATCGCTCCCTGGGTGCATGCGCACCAGCCGCGCGCAACTATGACCGAATGGACGGTCTTATGTTTCTCTCCTTGCGCTCAGGCTTGCGCGAGAACACGATGGCCCACTGCGGTCGCGATGATTTGTATGATCGCGACGATAACAGCGACATGCGAAGTGCAGCTGAAACAGAGGACGATTATGCTGCCACCTCTTCAGTCCAGAGCCGCACCCCACCAGTGACGACGGCAGCGACATCGACGAGGACACAACGACACAGTCTGCGCGGCACCTCCAGCCTGACCCATTCCACGGGCTCTATGCCATGCCAGGCTGCCTCCACGGGTTGAGTTTCAACTCGATGACGCGTCCTCCTTGAGGTTCGCCATGGCAGCTTCATTTTCACCGCATCATGTGCGGGACGACCCGCGCTGGGAACCCGTTCCAAGTGAGGGGAGGAGGGGTCATGCAGCATTTGGGATGCAGGCGCTGCGCACGAGACCGACGACTACCACGTCATTCCAAGCACGGACGTCTACCATCTCACGCACGCGCGGATGCGCGCGCAATTGCACCTCTCAACGCCACGTCGTTTCGCCTTCCTATGAATCGCCCCCCGCAGCGACTTCTCGATTGCATCCATGCCCGGGCCAAATGGGTCCTGCACAGGGGACGCGCAAGTGTCATCAACATAGGAGCAGCTCGAGACGCATTGCGAATCGACTACTGGGTCATCACCCTCATTATCCAGCAAGCCAAGCGTGTCCAGGTATACTGCACCTACGGTAATCTCACAACAAGAGGCAACCATGTCCGAGCATCGGAACAGTTTTCACGAAGAAGAGCAAGATCAGGTCAGCTTCAAAAACATCCTAACAGTGGACAAAGTATCTGTCAACATGAAGGTAAAGTGTACGTTTTACCCACTCTGCACCGAGATGTGAATGAGCTGTGTACGACCGAATACGGATCTGCAATAGCCACAAGCGTTGCTATTGGACATGCCACCCGCCTCTTATACCCTTCCTCCTCCCGATGTCTCATGACAACACGGTCTTAGACTTGACTCTACAGTCTGGCGATCCCGGCACGTTTATGTCCGCTGGCATAGTGCGTATGCCTGTGAGCCTCTGACAGTGCGTCTCCCCTTTGCCATGTGGCACAGCCTTGCGCTTATCCTAGACGCCCCTCTTCTGTGCCTCGCGCTCCCAGCGCTCGCCACATCATTGTGCTCGCAGGCTCTTTCGATATTCTTGGGGCGCAGCCCTCCTCCTTCTGGGGAGAGGTAGACACTGAACGGACGCTGGGTCCGGGCCTGGCCAGAGCAGGCCCGCATCGCGCTCCCCGGGATTCTCGTGCCCGGCCCCGCGGACAACGACGATGGCGGCGGCGGCGGCGACGACGGCGACGGCGATTGCGACAGCGATGGCGACGACGAGGGTGGGCAGGAGGGCGAGATGGGTGACAGGAGGAGGGGTTTTTGCTTCATCTGCTCCCCCTCCTCCCCTGTCTCCTCCCGTCCCTCCTTCTCCGAGCCAGCGTTCTCGTCCTCCTCTTCTCGTCCTCGCCACAGCTCCGTCATCGCCATCGTGTGTCCCCAGTCGTTGCGCAAGACTTCCCGAGTCGGCCCTCAGTCAGCGTGCTCGCCCTCCGCCGCGCCCCTGCTGTCGGCGGGCCCACCAGGGTGTACGACGTGATGACGGGCTCCTGCATAGCGATCCTGATCGGCCACGAGGGCGAGATCTCGAAGGCCCGGGGTGCGGGAGCGCCTGGAGACGGCGGGGCGGAGGCTGCCAGAGGTGGCCCCGGTCCAGGGCCCCCCCCCAGCCTTGCCAGGGAGGTCCAGGTGGCCTTTCCAGAGCACCCCGCGCGAGGCCCAGAAAGCCCCAGGGGCTCCCAGCATGGTTGCTGTCAGCTGCGCCTCGTCCAGCGCTTTCCGGGACGCGCGTGTCGCCTTTCGTTGGTTTTTGGAGGCCTGGTAGCGACAGCCCCACAGCTCGCTCGATTCCTGTCCTTGCTCTCTCTTTTTGTTCTCTCTCGTTATTTCTTTCTCTCCCTCTCTCTCTCTCTTTCTCTCTGCATGCAGGTGCTCGCCTCTGGCCTCGTCCCTCATCTCCGCCTCCGCCTCAGAACCTCGCAGCATCCAGCATGATTACCATCTTTCTCTGCCCATCTTGTTCCGTTCTCTGTGCGTGGCGCGTTCCCGTTGTTGTGCTCGAGTTTTCTGGAGTGCGCTCGGTACTCAAGTGGCGTTCGCAGTTCGTAGTACCGCGCACGGCCACCGCCCTCGTCGAGTGCGCTCCTGGGCAGCTTGAGGGATTGGCTTGACGCGAATCTTGGAAACGATCTGACATCTTGGTCTGACACGGCCCGTGCGGGTGGCAACGGGTGACCAAGGATCAGGCGCTTGTCCTCGGAGGGCAGGTGGCCCTTCACACGCTCGTGCAATATGCAGGGAACTCTGACACTCCGACTACGCAGGTCCCTCACTCTCTTCACCGACGCCGGCTTCTCCGCCTAGGCGGGTAAACCCATGGCGTGGAGACTCTTGGACGGGCCGACGCTAGTGGAGGACCTGTTTTCCGACGCCGATTTACGTTTCCGAGTCGGTTAGTTTGTGGAGCCCCAGCCGTCGTGGGCATTACGGTTAAAGCAGACGTGCCAGGAAGAGGAGGAGGATGATGAGGAGGAGAAGGAGGAGGAGGAGGAGGAGATCCGCGCCCACCAGACGTCCGCAGAGTACGCCCTCAGGACCCCGAGCTGTAGTTCAAGCACGCAGCCTTCGCTGGTCGTCGGCCTTGTAGAGACCGAGGAAGGGGTCGAGAGGCCCATGGTCTGCTGGCCTCTTGCCGTACACCGACCCCAGGACCACAGTTTGGTGCATGCCCTTTTTGAACATATCTTGGCTAAGAGCGCGATGGTGACGCAGCGTGGCGCTGCAAATCGTTTGCGTGCGTGGATGTGGGCACAACGAAACCACCACCATGCGATTGACAGGATCTCGAGCGTCTTGGCAGTCCTGGTTGGGTATGTAGCTGGTCGCCCACCGGTGCACTTCCGACCCCTACGAGGAGTTTTTCTGTGGAGTGTTATCGGGTTCGGCTTGTTCACCACAGTGCTTCTCCGTCTTCTACGGGCGCGACGTCACCGAGTGGTCCCGCGTTCGAGCCGGCGGTGGGAACGCATCGTGGCGCTGGACTTCGCATCGCTGTCCAGACATAGGAGGATCCGCTCACCATCCCTTCTCTCGTGCTTCCTGGGGCCACCCGCGGGCTCCGTGAAGGCGGTGGTGCACGCCATGGGGAGCCACTCGGGCCTCTACACTGGGAACGGTGTGTTGCGCGATGGACTTTTTCCAGGCCTCTTCGGGCGCGTCGCGGAGCACGTCAGGGCCATGCTCCACCGCGGGCGTGAGTCAGGACGGCGGCCCCCTTCTCGCTCGCTGGGCAAATGGGTTGGTTGGGTCTCTGCACTTCATGCCCATCGTCATGGCTCCATCGGGTCGGGCGAGCTGCCGCTATGAGACCAGGGCCGTTCGCAGGTACGCGCCATCATGCAACGTGGCGGACTCGCTCGAGTCGGAGGCGACTAGCCGACGGCGCGGGACGGGCATCCTGCACGCGATACCACGGACAAGACGGGCCGCCCGCAGGCGACCCCCCTCGTGGCGACGGGGCCACCGCTCGAGGACAACGGCCCCCGCGCGGAGGTCCCTGTTTCCAGATGGTCAGACATCCGCCTCGGAGGCGGCCCAGCCGTCCACGTTTGAGGCCATGCGGCAGCGCCCTTTTGCGACCCTATATCCTATACCGCCTCCAGCGGACCGAGCCTTTCCTTCTTGCAGATGAAGTAGGCCCGTCGTGGCTGTTTCAAGCACGGCGGATTGGCCTCTTACTGGCTTACTTGGCAGGCAAGTAGGAGGACGCAACGTTGTTTCGATGCATGCCGCGTAGTGCGGTGGGGGTTAACGTGTGTCGGGCGTCGACGCTTTCTGACCGATTGTTGAGGTCTTTCCATTGGCAGTGGATGGCATCGCATCAAGTTGCTTTCCATCCTCGACATGACTCCGAGTATGCACATATTTCAAATCAACCTGATGCGATGCCATCGGCGCGCGCGCGGAAGTCGCAGACGTCGATGACGTCTGCGATTTCCGCGCGCCCGACCTCCTCTCCGTCCCTTGCCAGAGGAGTTTCAAGACAGACGATATCGACAGTAGGTTTCTTCGTCGCAGTAGTATGCAGGGAGATCAATGCGGCGCGCTCCCACGCGAGAGGTCCACGCGCAGCCTGCGAGAGCGACCTGCACAAAGCAACGCTGCTGGAAGGACCACGTCTCGGCGAGCCGCTTCTTTGAGACGTACGAGGCCAGTGCCCCACGTTGTGTGCCCGACGAGTCACCGACGGCCCCGTGGCGCCTCACTCGTCTGGCAGGTCCCCGGAGACTGCCACGATGGCCTTGCCCCGCCAGGCGCTGCGTGAGGCCGCGGCGGCAGTTGAGGGAATGGGCTCAGCGAGCGCGGCTTCACTCCTGGGTCCTTCGACGAGGACTACGGCGCCTTCGGCACTGGGTGGCGCGGCCCTGGATCGCCCCGCCCGGTTTCCTCCAGAGTGGGATCGGATGGAGACGGTCATGCAGGACGCCTCAGAGGGCAACGATGAGTGGGCCGTCATGGCGGACGACGGGGAGCGCGAGACAGTGTGGGCACGTGATGGCGGTGACCTGACCAGATACCTTCATCAGCTTGCTCTGGCCGATCCCGATTGGATGCTGCGCTTGGAGAACTCCCCCGTGACGTCGCTATCTGGATGAGCGGGCGCGTTGTGGCAGCCTCGCCTCCGCAGCTGTGCGCGCCTCGGCTCCTCCCGCCAGCGTCGGCGGAGGCTCGGCCGCCGTGCGTTTCCCCGACCGTGATGGGAAAGGCTTCTCCCCGACGGGAGACGAAGGACGGGACGGAAGCCACGTCGTAGTTGCATGCGCCGCGTCATCAATTGTTCTGAGGCTCCTGGCTGGGTCCAGAGGCTTCCAGATCATTGGGCGAGCTGCTCGCGACCTCCTCCATCGGTCAGGCGTGAGCTCGGAGGTCTCTCCCATCCGGGTGGCCTCATCGTGCGCGCGGTGTGGGAGGCTGTGTGTGTGCCGTGTCTCTTGTGGTGGTTGACGATGATCAGGCGTGAGAGCAGTGCGATTCAGGTACGGTCTCCAAGGCGTGGTCGAAAGTTGCATGCGAGATCGTGAGAGCCTTGGGGGTAGACTATTCCTGGCATGTGCGCGGGTCTCCTTGGTCTCGGTCGGCGGCGCCAGTATGCGAAGAACAGCCTTCCCGTCGGAGGAGTTCTCTCGCGGGTTACGCTGTCTGTTCTGATGTGCCGGCATGAGGGTAGGGTTCGGCGGAACCTGCCACGGGTGGGCACCGCTTGGGTCCACCTCCCACTGGGCCAGGCTGCGCTGCCAGTGGGGCAAAGGAGGTATGTAGACGACATTATAGGCATGAGTGCCCACTACAGGCTATGCACGTGCAAGTACCTCTGCCAGGTGCACCCCATCAAGTTCAGCCCCGCGTCGTCATAGGAGGGCCCCGAGGAGCCTTGCATTTGGGTGGCTTCAAGCTGTCATGGTCTAAATCCGCGTGGCCCCCAAGAACCCCAATCGGCTGCGGTTACTTGGTCTGGACGAGGCGCTGGCCAAGACGAACATCATCCAGTGGCCTGGGGTCCCGCCGAGGAAGTTTGGCATGATGGTTTCCTTGTGTTCCTTCGGGTACGCGACGGTCCAGTTCCTATCCTTGTCGATCGGTGCAACCACGGCCTGGTCCCTCGAGTTCGCACTGGAAATCGTCTTCCTGGGATGCCCCCTGGAATTCGCCATCGCTGCTGCCCACGCTGCTCCGTGGAGTGCGTCTGCTGAAAGGGTTCGGCAGGGCTCCGAGTTTGGCGCCGCCGCTCACGCTGCGCCGAGCGCCTGGCCATGAGCAGCAGTGGCAGCCGCGGTTGGCATGGGGGCTCTTGGAACTGCGACCGTGGAAGCGACGAGTACGACAGGTACGACCGTGACAAGTGCGACACGCACGATCGTGACCGTGATCGCGATAGGGATCGCGACCGTGATCGCTACAATGTCGAGATCGCGACCGCCGCTCGAGCTCATGGGGCAAGAAGGGCCGCGGGAGGGGCGGCAGCTTGGAGCGCCCGCGATCCCGCGAGAGGACGTCCAAGGGCAGCGGGTCCCGTGGCGGGTCGTGCGAGAGGACCCCTAGGGGCCGAGGCAGCAGCCTTTCCCCGAGGGTGATCGACGACATGAAGAAGGCCTTGGCCTTGGTCGATAAGGAGTTCGAGTCGTGCAGGCACGACCTCCAGCATCGTCAGAAGGAGATGGAGCTCCGCAAGCAGGGTGAGTACGTTGCGGCGGCCTTGCGCAGCGCTTTGATGCCGCAGACGGACGAGCTCAAGCAGTTTTTTCAGCGCGAGTGCCCTGCAACGCCGCGGGCTCGCAGCCCGAGCCCCGCCATCAGCGCCGAGAAGACGCTCGCGCGTGCTGTGGCTGCACCGGCTCCAGACGGCGCTCGGCACGAAGACCACGTTGCCGCCAACGGGGGGCGCGTCACCCTTGATGGTATCATGGTCAGGGCGCTCCAGCGCGACAAGATTGCCACGGCGAACGAGAACAGCAAGCTATTCAGCCACATGCCGCGCAAGCAAATCCCAGTCGCATCACTCATGGGTGTCGTCTTGGGCAAGATGGGCCGTTTGCATAAAGTCGAATGCCGCGACAGACTGTGGCAGGGGGGCACGTGCTCGGACCAGCTCACGGGGTGTGAGGAAGATGGGGTATCTGGGCATACGTTCTTCAGGTATGTGGCCATCTCCGTCGTCCTTGGCCTGGTCCTCGGCATGTGTATCCATGTATGGGTCCCGCCTGCCAACCACCGCCATTTGGAAGTGATGATGACATATTGGATGCTGAAGTTGAGCTATGCAAGGGAAGCGCGAAGCATCCAGACGTTAGTCAACGCCCTTGAGCTGTCCTTTTCAGTCTTCTCGAGCAGCAGTGCGGCAGTGGTTCTTCCTTTGTTTCTTGCGTCTCAGGAGTAGCAGGTGTTGGTATGTCCTTTCTTTTCCGACGCGTGAAGGGGGGCGCCTCCACACATGGGCTTCTCGAGACCCCGTGGGCCCCGCAGGCGTGAAGCTCTCCATGGGGGCCCGCAGGATGGGCCAGATGATGGCCTCGTGGAACTGAGGTAGCCGCGATTATGCAGCCTACCCTCCTCGAAGATCTCTACTCTCCCCCTTCCCCCCCCCCCCCCCCCGCACCTCCGAGAGTCTTTGACAGCTGGGTGGGGCTGCAGGGCAGCGCCGTCTTGGCAGCACACAGGCAGGAGGTGCATGGGGGGTCGACTTAAGAGGGCGTCGGGAGCAGGACGCAAACAGCGACGCAGCCCTGACGCCTGCCGCGCCCGTTTTAATTTGGAAGGTCTCTCTCTCTCTCTCTCTTTCTATTTCTCTCCCTCTCTCTCTCACACGCCCGCCCTCGCAGTGACCTATACCGTCACGTCCTCCCCCAATCCCCTTCGAGATTCTTCGGCAGTCTATACAGGGTGCCCTTCTGTGGTCGGCTCACGGAGCAGACAGGGAACCGATCGTGCCTGCATGCAGATGCTCACTTCGTCGCTCACCTCCGCCTCCGCATCACCCCCCAACCTCCAGCATCACTGCTGTCTTTGTCTGTGAATCATGCTCCGTTCCATGTGCGCATCGCGTTACCGATTTTGCGAACGAGTTTTCAGGAGTGCTCTCGGCACCCGAGTGGCGCTCAGTGCCGCGCACGGCCACCGGCCTCGTCGAGGGCGCTCCTGGGCAGCTTTCGGGATTGCCTTGACCGGAACATCTGAAACGATAACTACCCCTCTTTCATTTTGCGCTCTCTCTCTCTCTCTTGTGTGTTTCCTTCTCTCTCTCTCTCTTTCTTTTTCTCCCCCTCTCACTCTCACCCTCTCGCTGTTTCTCTCCATCTCTCTCCATCTCTTTCCCATGGCGCGTCGCGGCGTGGCGCTTCCCGCCAAGTCGCATGGGTGGCGCATCCAACAAAGAGGGCCTCAGGGGTTTTGGATGGTGGTGGGGGGTTCAATTGGAGCCTCCGCGCGCCTCCCCGTGGCATGCAGCTCAGGCATCGAAACAGCTTCCAGGGGCCTGAACGGAGATATGATGGCGGGGCCAGGAGGACGGACGAGGATGAGAACAGCGGAGGAGGAGGAGGAGGAGGAGGAGGAGGAGGAGGCAGATGATGATGATGATGATGATGATGATGATGATGATGAGGAGGAGGAGGAGGAGGAGGAGGAGGAGGATGAAGACGAGGAGGAGGAGGAGAACGTAGCAATCTGAAACATGTGAGGAGGAGGAGGAGGAGGAGGAGGAGGAGGAGGAGGAGGAGGAGGACGGAAGAGCAAGAGGAGGAGGAGGAGGGGAGGAGGAGGAAGAGGAGGAGGTGGAGGAGGAGGGGGGAGATGAGGAGGCGGACGGAGGAGCAAGAAGAGGAAGAGGAGGAGGAGGAGGAGGAGGAGGAGGAGGAGGAGGAGGAGGAGGAGGAGGAGGACAGAGGAGGAAGAGGAGGAGGAGGAGCAGGGACGTTCAGGAGGAGGTGGGAGAGCAGGGCAGGGATCCAGAATGGGATCAGGAGTGGGAGTGTCGGCCCCGACCAGCTTGGGAGAGGTGCAGTTCAGCCCCAACGGCGCCAAGATCATCACGGCCTCCAGCGACAGGACGTGCCGGCTCTGGGCGGTGGAGACTGGCGAGTGCCTGCAGGCGCCTTGCGCGGCCAGGCGACCCACCAGGGCTTCGACCTCCCCAGGACCCCTTCGCGTCGGGAACTGATCGTGACGGTATGGATGGCTGCAGGGGCGGGCACCGTGGCCGTCAAAACGACTCAGGACCATGAGCCCGTTCCGGGGAGGTGGCCGAGATCACCCCCAAGTCAGTGTTTCGACCTCCCCCTGAACTTCAAGCAACCAGCGACGAACCTTGGGTACGAAGTTTCGGTACAACTTGATCAGCCACACTTCGGGAATGCCTTGATCGTACCAGTAAGTGGCTGGCGTGAAATGCCTTGCCAAGTCGCAGGTTTGGAGCGGGCTCACGTAGGCCCTCCCGACAAGTCTCTTGCGGAACCGTGCGCGGGTTTCTGTTCCGCTGCGTTCCCAGTTTTCCAGCGTTGAGAAAGCATTCGCTGCGGGCGTTTCCTCGTGGATTCGGCGCCAACTTCTTCAGTTTGGGGGACAATTCGGTGCCCCTGTTTGGTTGTTCTTCTTTCCCCAAACAGTGCTTGTACTCAGGGGCTTCCTTTTCTCTTCTAAGAACTGGGCCGTGCGCGGCCCCAGCGGCCCCGCAACTCGCCCGTGGCGCGCATCGTTTGCAGATGTTGGCCCGAGCCGTTCTGCCTGTGAGCCCAGAGGGCGACGAGTCGAAGGCAGCGTTTGATAAGGAAATTGTATCGCGTGCTCTCACCTCGGGGCGCTCCCTTCAACAGGTCAACGCGAAGCGTGTACAACCAGAGCAGAAACAACTTCTCGTCCTGCATCCTCCTCCTCCTCCTCCTCCTCCTCCTCCTCCTCCTCCTCCGTAGCCATTTTGGCTCAAGATGTTGAGTTCCGCAGGGGAACAAGTGGATACCGCTAGTCCGCGGCAGTGCCAGGGCTGTTCAGCCCGACGCCCTCTCTCAGGACCTGGGCGGGGAGCTCCGCGCTGCCGTCCTGAGTCTCGCCGCTCTTAGTGCGTGCAGGTCCCCATGGGCGGCAGTCGTCATGAACGGAAGTCCCGCAAGGCAAAGGAGGAGCGACGGGCGCCGACGGCCTCATCGCGTTCTGCCTCGTCCACTCCACGTGCCTCTTCTCCATCGGCGCGGCTGCGTGATCTTCGGGATTCTCACGGTGCTCCTGACATCCGTGAACGTGATCGCATTCGGGCGCGGGACCGATACCTCCCCACCGCCAGTGACGCATCGGCGGAGGGCTCTCGGCGGTCCCGCAGTGCTGGCCGTGGCGCCTCTCCCGTCATCGTCGACAGCTCTTGTGGTACGCAGCATTTCGGCATCGCCACCCCCATCCCAGCCGACGAAGGGCAAGTCCCAGCTGGGGGTGCGAAGGCCTCGCCCTCTCCGTCCCCATGGCCGACTCCACCAGCTTCGAGGCCGTGGGCGACTCCTGGCACCCCCGCTGAAGGCCGTGCGCCTGATCCCTGGGCTACGGCAGCTATGTCCAATGGAACCACGCCACATGATGGAGGCAGCAGTGTTGCCCAATCTGCGGACTCTTTTCAGGCGGAGGCCATGCAGGCCTTCACACAGAAGGCGATGGAGACCATCCTGGCCCAGCTTCCTGCCGCGCTCAGCGCGGCCACAGTACCGCTCATGGAAAAGTATGAGGAGCGCTTCAATCAGCAGCTTCGACGTGTTGATGGGGAGGTCCATGCACAGCGTGCGCGTTCAGACCTTCTCGACAGCACCGTGGCGGGCCTCGCTCATCGTCTATCGCATTTGGAGAAAGAGCTGGACCTCGCAAAGACGAAGCCACGTCCTCCTGTTGTTCCGAATCCAGAGTGGGACAGGGATGTGGATCTCACCATCCTCACGGTGCGGGCATCATCGGCTGTCGCCAAGAACGCTGTGGCGGCGGCATTGGCTCCTTGGCTCTCCGAAGCGAATGTCCCTCTCGGGGATGGAGTGGAACTTCACGGAGATGATGTCGCCAAATCCTTCACTCTCGCATTTCAAGGCCCCATGGAAGCTACCCGTTCTTCGAGAAGGAGTCAGGCCCAGCAGCAGCTCCGTCTGCCAAATGGGTCATGGCGCGCATTCCAGGTTGACGCGGGCACTGAGTCAGTACCGATCCATATTTCCGCGGACAAGAACAAGAAGATGGTTGCCACAGAAATTGCATGCAAGAAGCTGCAGAGGTGTCTCGCCGACCGTGGCATCCGCACTTTCCTCGACAAGGATAATGGTCAACTCATGGCCAAGTGGGAGCCCTTGGTGCGAGTGCTCCCACTACCTGCGAGCAGAACGCCGAAAGTGGAATGGAACCTCTCTGCACTTGCCGACAATTGCTTGTCCAGGGAGGAGGCCAATGAGCTGGTTCGCCAGGTCTTCGACACACGTGAAGTACGGTGGAGTGGGTAACGAGATGTTCGGCGTGGGGTTTCTAGCTTTCACGACCTGGAATTCAGGGGCCCTGTTACACTACAGACCAGCGATTTTGAGCAGGAAGCTCAGCTATCTGAGCAAACTGTTGGGTGCTGGAAAAGTAGTGGCGATACAGGAGATCCACGGTGGTGAATATGCTATGGAGGAAGCTCTTCAGAGGATTCACTGTACTTCGCATTCATGCTTCGTTTCTGAGTCTGAGATGCCGCGGACTGGAGGCGTCGCCACACTCGTTCCCAAGGACCCACGCGTTCGAGCCAAGGGTAAGTGCTTTGTCGCTGGTCGGGTTCTTCTGGTCACTATCCATAATTCAGTGGTCGACTTCACCATCTACCACTGGAACGTGCACAATTTTGCCATCGACGCTGCTGGCCTGAAGGAGATCCAAGCATGTATAAAATCTCAGCTTCGGCGAGTGCGCGATGATCCGCTGAAGTACACGGTGATCCTCACGGGCGACTTCAACATTCCTGCGAAGCCCATCGAGCACCATCGGGGAGAGGATCACACCAGTACTCCATGTTCGTCAGGCCGTGGGGGGCAGGATTCAGCCCTGCAAAGTCACCACCCCACGGCCGCATGCACTCCGAGTTCGGCTGCATCGAGGACAACACCGGCCACCTGCACACCACCTTCTGGGCCATGTTCTCCGAGTCCGTCCTCTTCTTCGGCTTCATCTCCTGCGTCCTCCCAACCACCCGCAGCCTCCCCCAGTGCCGCGTCGACGGGGGCTTCACAGGGGAGGCAGGCCACACCTGCTTCGTCGCAGGCTGATGGTGCCCAGCGGGGAGACTCCACCCTGCGGGTTGGCTCTACTCGGGCGTCCCGTCCTGGCGACTCGAGCTGGCTGAAGATCTTCAGGGAGATGACGGAGCTCGCCTCGGAGGCGCCAACCCACTGGCACGCCTCAACTGCATGCGAGTCCAAAATTGATCGTCTCTTTGTCGCCTCACCGCCATGGCTCCTGTGTCAAACTGCTCAGCTAGTATCGGTCCGTGATGAACCTCATGAGTTGGCCCATCGGGGGTATTTCTGACCACTCGCCCCTGGAGGTCGTCTGGCGCCCACGGGATCACTCCAGAACGAAACGACAGAGGCCCCTCCCGCGTTGGGTGTACAAAGACAAGATTTACGCTCAGCTAGTCTCCCACATGGAATCCCAGGTGGGCATTGAGGATCTCGCTTTCGACCCGCCGCGCATGCTTGCTGCTGCTACCGCTGTCCGGCAAGCTGCTGGGCTTCTTGCACGCAATGCCATCTGCCGTGCTGCACCATCATCACTGACTTCTCGGGCTATGATTTCTCGTTCTGTTGCGCGATGTGTCTGGCGTAACGACGCCCGTCTTGCCCGAGTTCTCCTATTCCAGCACCCCTGGACGCAGAGTCTCATACGTGTGGATGGCGAGATCGTATCTTTCATTGATCCTGGTGGCTTCCATGATCTCCATAGTTTGTGGCAGCAGCAAGAAGCAGAATCCAGAAAGAAGGCTCTCGAGTCAGAGATCAACCAGTCGTCGTCGAGCACGGTCAGGATTCGTCTGGCTGGGCGTCGTCGTGCTATCATTAGGTCTGCACAGTTATGGAATCCGCTGTGTCGGCGTAAGTACTTAGCATCGGTCAAGGCGAATGAGATGGTCTCGGTTTCGGAGATGCTGGCGGGCGGCCCACTGACGTCGGAACAGGCACCTCCCTCCCAAGCCCCGATGGTGGACGCATTGGCATCCTATTGGGGCCCCGTGTTCTCCAAGACCCACTCCGTCCCCTCTGTCGCCAAGAAATACATAGACCGATTCAGCAGCTCAGAGGACTTCTCAGAGGTTCGCCCACCCATCCTTCGAGATGTGGAACGTGCGCTGAAACAGTCGAACTGGTCCGCTCCTGGCCCTGATGGGCTTCACTATGCGGCCTGGAGGTGTGGTTCGGGGTCGAGGGTCCTTCTCGAAGTTCTTCGCTGGATTGCTCTTGGGAACTACATGCCCTCCAATTTCACTGCGTTGCTGGCCGTCTTCCTCCCTAAGGACCCCAAGGCCCCTTCCCATGATCCCGACGATGGTGGTGTTGTACGGGCCCCTGGTGATACCCGCCCGCTCGGGCTCAAGAACTCCTCGAATAAAGTGGTGTGCAGTGTGCTGAACCAGACTATGAGCTGGGTGACGCAGAGGATCGGGGCTCCATCCCAAAGGGGCTTTATTCGGAGGCGAAATTTTCTGGACAATATTGTCGATTTGGACCGCTACGCTCGATCAGCCAGTATTATGTCTACTGCGTCCTCCCAGGCACCGTCGTTGATCGCATTTGACTTTGCCCAGGCCTTCCCGTCGGTATCCCAGGAGTGGCTATTCCAATGTCTCGCCCGACTCCGTATTCCTGCCCCTCTGGTCCGCGCTCTTCGCTCCCTCTACCACTGCACTCCATGCTACTTCGTCGGCGACTCTCCGACGTACCTATACCACATGAACTCAGGGGTGCTTCAGGGCTGTCCGTTGAGTGGTTCGCTCTATGTGATTGCGAGCAACCCGTTCCTTCTGGACTTAGAACACTGTCTAGTTGCACGTGGGCGTCTCTTGGGGGTGGTTCGTGCATGTGCGGATGATCTTGGGGCAGTCCTCTTCCACAACAGAGCGTATCCACGTTTGGCTCGAGTATTTCGACATGCTTCGAGGTTTGCTCAGCTACGACTTAAGCCTGCCAAATGCAATGTGATTCCTCTTCGTGACCCGTCTATGCCTGAGCACGGAGCCCTACTTCGACACCAACTTGTGGGGGGCGACCCCGCCTGGGCAGATTTCGCGATTGTTTCGGCGTGTACATATCTTGGATTTCAGATTGGGCCTGGAGCCACTGATGATAGTCAATGGTCGACTCCTGTTCTCAAGCATGCCACTCGTGCTACGGCAATTTCTTCGCAGGGTGCAGCTCTCTCCACGGCTGCCGCTCTTTATCGTCAGAGAGCTGCTCCCACGCTGTCGTACGTGGCCCAGCTGGTTCCTCTTCCCTGGAGGGTTGGGCAACAGCAGCGCTTTCTGCTGGCTCGCATCATGCGCACACCTGCTAGTATGCTTCGGACTGGTGACTGCTTCGCGCTAAGCACAGTGAACGGCCCGAAGTTCAGCTCTGTCTTCTGCGTTGCTGCTGCCGCACGGCTTCGAGCAGCTCTGATCACATGTTCGACATGGCGCGAGCAGCTGCAGCGACATCGGGATCTCCTCTGGGAATATGGCACGTTCTCCCAGGCTACCAGTGACGTCTTGGCCCCGAGCTTCTGGATGGCACCACCTTTTGCTTGCCGCCTGGAAGAGGCAGCGAAGGGCTTCCCATCGTCCCAAGTGCTGAAAGAGGGAGGGCGAATGGCATTGAGTCTATGGGAAGGCGGCGACTCGTCCGTCCCCGCAGAGGTGATCGAGTTCTTCCGAGCTGAACCCAATCCTTGCCCGCTCCCATGGAGCCTCGCCCGTCGCGTTCCGGAGCCAGCTGA